CCCTTTGCTACGTAGGATTGCGCAGGCGCGTAGCACTCCGAGTGTTTCTTTGGGGTTTGTTATCATTTTCTTTCGTTTACGGGTCAATTGACCCATACTATTTTTTAAGCCGAATTACTCCACTTCTGTCATTGCGGATGTCTGAAAACTGCCAACAAAAATAATCACATTCACTTCAGATAGTACTGTGGAGTGGGTACAACATTGGCGCTCAAGCAATTTCTCATGAAGCTTACCTTCCGTGGCAGAATAGTTTTCCTCCCAGATCCGCTGAAAGCATACGGTCCGTAATGCATGATCGACGAGTAGTCGTACGGTTCATGAAGGTGATCGATCACGTTCATGTTGTACCTGGATCAATTCGGTAACGTTTAAGGGAGGAGTATTTACATCTGCTTCTTGCAACGTACTTCTCGAACTGATCATCAGCTCCGTTTTGCACATTTCGCCACACTATTTCGATGAACTCATCACGATCTTGCCTGAACATTACCAACATCTTAAAATGGAGTCAGTGGAAAGATGTGTGGGTCAGGTTGTAACAACTGCGGCAGACGAGAGACGAGACGAGCAGAGCTAAAAGCGGTGTCGCGTGCGCGTCATGTGGGTCACAAGCTGCGCCGAATTGTAGTGCCACTCTGCGCGGCTACCTGTTCCTTGCCATGTGCCGCAATCCTAACTTCTTGACCCACGCCACTGGTAAACGACGCATGAAATTTAGACATTCATATCTCCAGAGAAAAATTACAATTAATTTCTGTGGAGACTGTTGCGTTGAAAACAGACGTCAACACGATTCGGTCATTGCACGGGTCATGATACACGGACTCTGCCTACTCTTAACGGGACCTTGACGGTATTACATAATATATCTGGCGCTATCGCAAGATACAGTGGCATTGTGGTGCATTCAAAAACACTAAAAACATGTCCTTTTGATAAAAAAAAGGCTATGTCTTAGGTGGGGAGGAGAGACTCCAGGGTGAGTTGGTCATTTTCGTTCTTCTCGAAATTCCTGCCCCCTCCTAGGCTTGGTCTAGAGTATCCCCAATACCCCAGTTGATTGAGAAACGGCGATATCGAGCATGCTCCTGACGTGCCAGAATACTGCCTTATTGTTGATGTTGAAAAAGCTACAGTTGAGTTCCTCGCTGCCTATCTCAGCTTAGACATAGCAATTACTACCAGTGGGATCTGAAGTGGAGGGGGAATACCCCGTACTGTGCTGCTTGCGATGCCTTTTCGGTAACTGCCGATCGAATCTTCTCCCTAGCCTACTTAAACTATTGCCTATAACTAGCTCGTACTATTGACTTTTCACGACATCGATTTCTGGAAAGGAAACGAACCTGCTCTGTTCATGGAAGAAGCCGACGGCATGCATGAGCTCATGTACGATCGTGCCAACTTGAATACAGCCGGAATCTAATGAAACTGGCTGACGCCCTCCAGTCCTGCAAAGATGCTATATAAGTGCTCTGAATGGTACGAATTAATGACTTGTAATGCGCTAGCAGTTTTCTAGGGCTACAGCAGCGGAAAGGGTATGAGCGTGATTTCAGGATCGCCAAAGCTTCTGAATATCGTTATAGCAGTCAGCTCAACCCACACGCGAAGGTGCTTAATTTCCTTACCACCACTGCTCATAATCCGTGTGACAGAAACATACGGTTCCAGAGATTACAAATACTTCATCAACCTCTACGTTCTGCATACCAACGGATCCCTTGCAATGTGAAAGGAGCAGCAAAATGATCGTCGGCCCCAACGGCTAGCCTTTTTCACAAAAGCTCCGCAAGAAGGGAGTAGATTCCTATAAGATCTACGCGAGGAGAGCTCAGTGGATGTACTCTGGTGCGCTAACAGGGACAGGTGGAGATCTGATGATGCTCGCCGCTTTGAGTTGAGTGGTGGACGGAACTGCAGGTGACAGCGGTGGTAAGGGTACAAGATTTCTAAAGCGAAAGGTAATGGACTCTTAGTTGGAGGGCTTTGCAAGCGAGATGACTATTAGAGAGCGATCAAACGAAATATCCGCTTTGCATATCGAAAGACGAAGACTCCAAAGAACACAAACTGACCAATATTGTAGGGTGGTACAAACAAATATGCTACTTTGGATTTCGGACCTAAGTAACTGTTAATGTAACTCACTTTCCTACGAGACTATAACATCCGTCGTCAGGGTGGATAAAAATGTAGTCCACATGGCGACTAACATCTCGTGGAACAAATCGAATGCACGTTTTGTCATGATACTCCTGAATCAATCGGCTTCAGCATTTTTATAGCGAAAAATGATACTAATTATAATGTTCAAATGTTAAGTGTAAATACAAATAGGCAGACTGGTTTCTAGGGTTATAAAGAGCATGCTTCCGTCTCTACCTCATGGTACAGGTGGAATCCACGAGCCGTTATGCACACGCTTCCAACCAATGCGCTTTTTCGGAATAGAAACGAGTGTGTGGTGTACCCATTGAAGCTCAATGAAGCCAAACACACCTCGTTTTGCATTATTTACACGTAACCCTCTTACAAATCCCACAGGTGATGAATGAAAGGTGGACTAGCAGGGGTGTTATTTCCTCCTGACATCCTAAATCCTAGACAGTTTCCTGCACTGAGATCAAACAGTTTTGGATGTTCCCTGTATCATGACGGCATTTTCAAAAATGTCTAAAAGAGGTACGCTCCCATCCGGCAGACCACGCGCGAAAATCGCATTGTCGCCAACGTTTTAGCAATAAAGCAACATCAGCAAGGCAAAATGGTGATAATATTTATTGCTTGGCCTCATACTGCCCCAAAATCACAGCAAGCGATGAGAGTCGGGGCTGAGGAGATGACACCTATGGTTCCATATTTCAATTTCACATTTTCTTCAAATCAGAAGTGATTAAACTGTACACATTAGTCAATCATATTATTTCTTTGCAAGGTAGCTTCCAGGGAAGTTTCCCCCATGTCTCCATTATGCGAGGTTCCTGCTACAAGGAAAGGATGGTAGGTCGAAGTGGCCGTATAAAATGAGATGTATACCACCTGATGCGTCTCTAGACGCTGATTCCAAATCTGCCTTCCAAATCTGCTAAACGGCTCTCCGAACGGAGTTATGAAGCGTAATAGCTCAGTGGTGATGGTCCGGGGTGGCAGGTAAAAGCTCGTAGGATCGGTTCCTTTGCAAGTTTGTTGCTTTGCTTTTGTCCGCAACACTTCTAGAGACAAAAGCAAAGCAACCAATTTGCAAAGGAACCGATCCTACGAGCTTTACCTGCCACCCCGGACCATCACCACTGAGCTATTACGCTTCATAACTCCGTTCGGAGAGTCGTTTAGCAGATTTGGAAGGCAGATTTGGAATCAGCGTCTGGAGACGCATCAGGAGGTATACATTTCATTTCGAACGGCCACTTCGACCTACCATCCTTCCCTTGTAAGCTAAGGTTTCTCGATTTTCCTCGTCATACGTAGTGGTCGATCGCTCAGAATGGTCCCTTTCATATTGATTACCATTACTATGAATGCGTTTCCAATTGAATGGCAAGTGGCTAACTTTTCGCCACGCAAAGCTCAGTGAAACGGGCGTTTCGCGAAGAGTATGCGTTTACCGAAACCTATTTCTACGCAGCTCGAGCTTGCTAAAAGGTTGCTGTCGGGATCATGACTAGCAAAATGCCTGATAAAGGGTCGTCGTAATCATAATCATAAAGGTCATCATAATCATAAAGCGTTCATCAGGCGTTTCGTCAATGTACCTGGTCGGAGATGGTCCCCTCTCTGGCCAGGGCTTTCTCCACCAACGCGTAACAAGATACCACTCAAAGAGTTACGCTTCAGGCGTCACTGTTCAGCGGTCCTACAGCGAGACCTTGAAATGGCCTGAACCCTGTGCTTCTCTGAATCCCTAAGCATCGACTGGGGATTTATCCCGACGCCACGGGGACAGAGTTGGTAACATTGAGCCATTTGGAAGGGTAGTGCTGTGGGGTTACCCTGGAAAATGACAGGCCCAAGACGAATCCTTATCCCCGGTTGAGATAAATCCCCGTCCTCGGGTCTTCGGTCATGTATAGGGATTCGTTCCCGGCTGGTAGCTATTATACGGCCCCTAGATCTTGTCTAATTAATGATTTGCTTTAGAAATAAACGTTGGTGAGACATTTGGATTAGAAAATATTAAGAAGCATAATCAAAAGCATAATACTGAAAACAACCTGCATAGCCTTCGCAATTACCGATCTGGCATACGAGCCATACTGAGACGACAACGTGTAGGGGATTTCTCGATTAGGCCACCGCCTGAAACATTTTCCTCTCACTGATTCTTCTTCATGATTTCTGACTTCATAATTTCTTTAATAGTCATCTTCCTTCATCGGCTACTACATACTTCCGTAACACCAGCGAGAGGCAACAAACTAAATAAGGGAACCAAAAACACCATAGTTTGTTGAAACCGGTCCATGATTACAGTACTTTTTACTAGGATTAGCTTTTGGCCTTTTCGCCTTCGGATTGAATTGCTTTCAGAGACTCCAGAATCGATATGAAAGAAGAAGTTATAGTCGTAAGCCGTGGCCTGGCGTCCTTCTCGATCTCTGTAGATTTTGAGTTTTGGTGAGGTAGAAGAGTGGAGAAGGCTTGCTCATTTGACAGGAAGGGGGAGCTAGGGGTATGGTGGAAACAAAGGTCGTACACGGGGGGCTTCGTTTTAGAACGTCCTGTGCACACCAAGTTCGACCGTCCGGTGGTAATTTACCTGTTTTGGAGGGGAGCGCCTTGTTTCTGGTTCTTAGATATTGTTGTTATGAAAAGTGGGTATTTGAGATTTTCATGGGGTCGTGGCGGCGGAAGATGAGGGTTCGTACTCTAGTGGTAGGGAAGCTTTCTTTTGGCGTTCTTTTGATTTTCTGACGAACTTCTCCGAAGGAGGAAAAGTGCATCGCAGATGACCTATTGGAGCATGATGCGTTTCCTCGGCACATTTTCCTTTGAGACGCGGCTGGGTGTATCGATGCTGTGAATCGATTTTGGTAGAAAAGTCACGATGGCGGAGCTGGGTGGGCCAGAGGGGAGAAGGTGAGGTAGAGGTCGTTTCGGGTTGGAACCGTTAAGTTGAAGTTGCGTTTCGGAGGTGAATTTTGCCAGCAGACGCAGTATGTAGAGGTGAGGAAAAATAGTTTTGTTTCTTGCAATCGTTGTCGTCAGGGCACCCGTTTTACGCCTGAAGCCGTAGGCCCATGCGTAGCTTTCTGGGAGCCGTTTGATGTTGCTTAAAGGGCGAATGTGCCCTGAAGAACAGCTTGTGATGATCGCAGCTGCTCCCGAATCTTTTTTTTTTGTTCATTGTCCTGCGAAGCAGTACTCAGCGGGAATACATGGTACGGGCTTCTGTTACCGCAGAGTGATTGAAAGCAGGAAATGAGTGGCGTTGGCGCTTGTCGCGTTGCGAGATAAGCGTTGGCGGCGCCTTGTGATGGTGTTTGCGACGATTTTGCTTGAGGATGCTTCAATGGGCATATCGCTTCTTTTGTTACGGAGTTGGATCGTCTTTCCACTTTGTTGAACCAAAGTTCACCTTCACATGTAAGTAATGCTCTTCACGGGCAATTAGAGAGATTTTGGTGAATACAATCGCAGTGCCATGAAATCGGGAGTTGTAGGAAACACTCCCTGCGTTGCGGCTTTCGATAGAATGGAATAAGGCGTTGATAATAGGGAGGGGGCTTTTACGTAACACTTTAGTCTAGGGGCTTTGTATTACGGCTGACCTGTCAGTTGGGAAGTGGCGGGGGAAGTTCTATGAGCAAAAACGGAATTTTTTTCTTGGTCGGGGTAACCCCAGGAGGCCCCGTCGGCGGCAGGAAGGCCGACTCGGCGGACCGAGTCGCCGCGGTATTGGGAAATCGGTCAGTATGATCACGTCCTTAGCGCACATCACGCGCTGCGACGGTCCGCTGTCTCAGCTTCTTGACCGCGCCGACTGTGGCCTCACTGCCCCTGGGGGTGCCTAGGGTCAGGGAAAGATGGGTAGGGTGGGGGAAGGAGCTCCACGGTGGGTGGACCACTAAAAGTATCCAGAAAAATGGACTGAAGTTGATGACGTTCACCGGTTCTCATCAATAAGACACTTCAGATGAACGTGTCATAAAAGTTCTTATGCTTACCACCTATGCACCACATACTACGATAAGGATATCCTTAGCCTTATCTTGACCATCCTCGCTAGAGCGGCAGCGCAGAATAGAAAGAAATTTAACACTATTCCCACCCTGAAGTGCTGAACGCCCTCTTCCCTCAACGGCTCCTTGAACTTCCACACCTACGACTCCCTCCATTCAAACTTTTACGCCCCTCCCAAGTAAGTTCGATCCCGTCCAACTCGGGTCAAACGGACGGTTGACCTTGTTCCAACGCTGTGACCGTTTTCAGTTTAAAAGATGTGAAGACCAACCTAATTTAGTGATGTCTCGTTGGGTGTAGCTTCGAAAGTCGTCTTCGTTCAGTACCGTCTCGACATCAGGTTTACTTCTATCGATAACCTGAATTCGTCTGGATAAAGTTCTGCGCAGCAAAATCACCTGTGTCATCACATTCCACTGTATTTCAGCCTTTCTTCTTGAATTAATTTCTCTCGTATCACTTCGTTCGGAGGACCATTGAATAGGCTCACCCACAACTTTTGAGCCTGCATTCAGTTTTACAAGCGGTCTTACAGGGAGCTCTTTTTGATGAATTCATATCCTTTTTTTCGCAGGCGCGCCCATAGACACCGATACCTGCTGTGGTAGCGAACATACCTACATATAGACAGCTAGTGCTCAATTTTCAAGAGTCACGCCTAAACCTCATTTGTTTTTTCCGAATAACTACCTATGATCACTCCCACCTCGAGCATTTCAATTTCTCAATTAGGAATTCAGGAAGTACCTTCCCAACCGCATCGCTTGGAGAGTTTCCAAAATTTATCAAATTTTATTTCTTTTGCCATTCAGGAATGCTCGAAAGGGTCACCTTTGTAGAGTAAAAATGCATGTAAAAATATAAAGTGTAGAAATGAATGTAAGAACATATCGTGGGTGTGTAATATGCGACTATGAATAGGGATGAGAAGATTTGGAAAATTCAACTCCTTTTTAATGCCCCCTCCCCCATGTATTCTTTCGCTCATCGTTGGGTTAAAGGAGGATTCTACGATACGATCGAAGGTCGAAGATGCGAAACCT